TTTTTTAAAATACGTGTTTGGAACAAGAAAAAATGACGTTATAGCTTTAGATTTCTTAAAATGGGTTTTTAATTTTGTCTGCCCCTTGGATTAAAGGGATGAAATAAAGCTTTTTAAAATGCAGTATCTGAAAAAAATATTTGATCAATTGAGTGTGAGCTATCTTCTTTTTATGCAGATTGTTAGTGTTTTGTTTTTTGGTATAGTATGTATTTATTTATTTATTTATTTATTAAGATTATGCCATCCTTCCTAACAAAGGCTCATGGCATCTTTATATTATTAGAATAAAATAAGTTTTAAAACAAGAGAACAGAACAACTTATAAAAGCAAGTAGAATATTAGAATGGAATATAAAACAATATTCCAACTTAGCCTTGCTTGCTAAAAGCTTGCCTAAATAGGAAGGTCTCAAAGCACTTCCAGAAGATACAGGTTTCCCTTGATTTACTTGGGTTCCATATATGTGAATGCGCTCTTATGCAATCATCCTTCTTCTACCAAAAATTCCTTATATGCGAGGTAAATTCACTCATGTTCAGGGCTCCGCTTGTCCCCACTCACCCCAGCTCCTGGGCTGTGCTGTGCCATGGTGCAGGCAGGTGGTGTCAGCTGCTCCCAGGGTTAGTGGGGAGAAACAGAGCCCCGGGATGTTTGGGGCACAGTGCAGCCCAGTGGCTACAGGCAGCTGGCACTGGCTGCTCCTGCGGCTGCTGCAGCAGGGACTGGGGTGAACAGGGAGAAGCGGAGGCCTCAGGCTGCAGCAGGCAGTGAGAACTGTTAGTGGGTGCGGGGCAGGGGGAAGTGCGTGGCTCTTGCTGTTGTGCGCCTCCTGGGAAGACTGTGGGCTGGCAGGCTGCGCCAGGCTCTTCCTGGGGGTGGGGCCTGGATCTGCACGTGGATTGACAGTAGGCTGCCACTGCGGGCTGGGGCCGGCAGCACCACTGGGGAGCTGTCAGGCAGGTTGTGGGGGCTACAGTGAATTTTGGGCTGGCAGCAGCCCACCTCCCAGCGCCGCTGCCACCTGCCTGGAGTGTTGGGACGGTGTGTGGTGCTCCGGGCGGCCCCAGCCTTGCTTCCAGGAACAGGCAGCAGTGCTGGGAGTGGGGGCTGCTGCCACCCCAAAATCCACTGTAGCCCCCCCAGCAACCTGTCTGCCAAGTGCAGGGGAGAGCCCAGTGGCACTGCCAGCCTCAGTCTGCGGAGGCAGCAGGCTCCCGTCCTGCGCACAGATCCGGGGGCCCACGCCCCCCTGGGAAGAACCCAGTGCAGCCTGAAACCCTCCCGGGGAGTGCATAGCAGCAAGAGCCATGTCCTCCCACCCCATGCCTCCTCACCCTGCACCCACTCAGTTCCTGCTGTAGTCCCGGGAGCTGCTGACGGGCTGTGCTGCACCCCTCCCCAAGTCCCAGCCTTCCTCCCACAATCACTGCCATGGGGATGTATCCCTTTTTGTTCCATTGTAAACTAGGTTCGCTTTTTGCAAATTCAATTTGTGCCATTCTCTGGGAATGCATGTACTGCAGTAATTGAGGAAAGTCTATATTGAGGTTCAGCTGCTCATTAGCCTTAAGCAAACTTGGTAAAATAGTAGTAGAAGATGCTAGTAGAGGAGGAGGAGTAGTAGTAGACCATAGTATTTAAGTATACTAAAAAGGAATGTTGTATTAGCATTCAATATGCTGGTAAAAAATGGTAACCATGGTTTATATTTTGTTTTACTTAGAGACCATCATGGTGGCCCTTTGAAATTTCTCCTGGTACTTTAACCTTTGCAATTGTATGGCCCTTCATTGCTCAGTGGTTGGTGCATATATACCTTCAAAGAAGGCGAAGGTAATGACTTATAGTTTGAGAATACATTTGTTTAGGTTTCCAGTTCTTCAAAAGATGTGGTACATACTTTGTAGGGAACAGTGCAAAGGAGACTATTGCCTTTATGTCATGGAAAGAGCACAGTATTGCATCCCATAGGGTTTTTATAATGTGAGGATGGGGAGAGGATCCTAGAGAATTCACAGCTAGAGCTCCTAAAAATCCTGCATTTCCTTGAGCTTTCAAAATGGGACTAAACTGAAAAAGTTCTGTGAAACTTGCTGTAAACAGGGTGATGAGTTCAAGCAAACTGTGTATGAGAGATTTTGTAAGAGCCAGAGATGTCCATCTTCAGGAAGATATGTGAACTTATTTCCAAAGAACAGAATGGATGTTGAGAGATTATTACCAGAAATATACAAGAAATGCTAGAACTATTAGTTTTTCCCTCAGGGTCAGGAACTTTGAGGGCTGTTTTAGAAGACAACTTAAAAAAAAATGTCTTCTCCTGTAGAATTTTAAACCTAGGAAAACATTTACTAATGTAATTCTGCATGCATAATACACGATGAAGAGCCAGTGGATTTTACCTAACTAAATATTACCCTTTTGTAAAATGAAATATCAGAGCAATTCCAGTATCATTTGAGTCGTCTCCAGTGTTTTGAGGAGC